TCTCTCTCTCTCTCTCTCTCACACACACACACACACACACACACACACACACATACACACACACACATGACAGATTTACGATACCTGACATAATGGCTTGGACCCAATGAGACATGAGAGCAATGCTCACCAAATTGGCTCATGCATCCCAATAAACTTTGTGAAGTTTCTGAACACCGAAATATATACACATGTATATACAAACAAGCCCTATTTTTAAGTTTGGTAAATACATTATGCATGCACTGCCATCAATCTGTATGTCAGATTTAAATTTTTCTTTCTTTCTTTTTTAGACACAGGATATAAATCAAGAGAAGTTCTAAATGTTCCTTCCCTTCACCCCAGCGGGCCGCCTTGCACAGCCCGCTCTGGCGATCCCTCCAAGAGCGTGGCGCTCAGAGCAGAGACTGTGAGGGCTCCTGTGCCAGTTCTCCCGTTGGGATCTTGCTAAAATGGTCTAGAAAACCAGGAGAATAAGAACACCCACTTTGTGCACATGTGGTGTAATTAAGTGACACAGGTGCAGAGTCCGGTACAGAGCAGCCCTCAGGACACGCGCGCTACAACAGCCGTTTAGTGCCATCTCTAGGGTCCTCGCCACAGGCCTCCATCCTTCCTCTCGTTCCCTGTGGCTCAACTTTGGCTCTACCAGGCAGCATCTGGGTAATTAAGTGCTTTACGAATCCCTTAGGGTCCTCTTCGGAGCAAAGCAGAATGTACCTGTATCCCCTGTAACTCGAGCTCAGAGGATCAGGGAGCAGAGCAGTTCGGGTCCTTGGGAGGAGGCTGCCTGTTCCCCAGAAGAGGGAACGGAGGCCCAGACAGAGGCGTGTCTTCCCAAGATGCACGGGGCGAGCAGCGCAGTGCAAGGACACAAGTCTGGGACCTCTGAGGGTCATGGTGTGGCCTGCCCCTGGGAGATGGCAAGCCCTGAGATACTCACTTTTTTTTTTTTAATTAAACATTTAAAAAAAATTTTTTTTAACGTTTATTCATTTTTGAGAGATGGAGAGAGACCGTGAGTGGTGGAGGGGCAGAGAGAGAGGGAGACACAGGATCCGAAGCAGGCTCCAGGCTCTGAGCTGTCAGCACGGAGCCCGATGTGGGGCTCAAACCCATGAACCCTGAGATCATGACCTGAGCTGAAGTCAGATGCTTAACTGAGCCACCCAAGCGCTCCAATTTAATTTTTTTAAATGTTTATTTTTGAGAGAGAGACAGACCACAAGTGGCGGAGGGGCAGACAGAGAGGGAGACACAGAATCCCAAGCAGGCTCCGGGGTCTGAATTATCAGCACAGAGCCCAATGCAGGGCTTGAACTCACAATCCATGAGATCATGACCTGAGCTGAAGTCGGACAACTTAACCGACTGAGCCACCCAGGCTCCCCTGAGATTCTCATTCTTAGGCAGACAAAATTAATTAACAAAAGGAAATGACACATTCAAGACCGCCTGGTGGCCATTTTACCCAGCACGAGCATCACAGGAACTCAGTGAATGACATCATCCTTTCCCACCACATTTGATGATTTTGGAAACTGCTCACAATCGAAAAAGCCTAAGGCCTCGGCTCTGCTAAGAAGACACGGAGCCCCTGGGAAAAGTTACAGGGACGCCGAGGAATCCAACTCTCCAAGAGTGACTATTACTGGACAGAATATTAAATACTTACAGGGTAGGATGTTTTTATATCTATTTTTGTTCTTATTTTCTTGTCTCTGACCCTCTTTTCTGCTGTAGAGAAGTTTGCACTCCTGTTGCTGTAGTGTCTGGAGAGGAAAAAAAGTAAATATTATTGCATGTCGAAAGCTTTAAAAAAAAAAAAAAAAATCCTGGCTCAGCATTTCTGTTTTAGGAACGTTATCCTTGGAAATGTTCAGAGTTGCATACAACAGCTACAGATATGCTCATCTTAACGCCATGTCAACAATGTCAAGAACAATTTCCAAGAAGAAAGGACGGCCTGGACAGCACTACCATTAATTCACACAAACGGGTGCTCTGCGACCATTAAAAAAAAACGTTCTTGGGGCGCCTGGGTGGCTCAGTCGGTTAAGGGTCCGACTTCAGCTCAGGTCATGATCTCACGGTTCATGGGTTCGAGCCCCGTGTCGGCCTCTGTGGTTCGAGCCCCGTGTTGGCCTCTGTGCTGACAGCTCAGAGCCTGGAGCCTGCTTCAGATTCTGTGTCTCCCTCTCTCTCTGCCCCTCCCCTGCTCGTGCTCGGTCTCTTTCAGTCTCTCAAAAATAAATAAATGTTAAAAAAAAATTTTTTTTTTTTAATGTTCTTGGAGAATTTTTAATGCCTTGAAAAGATGATCAGAGTAAACATTAAGTGAAAAGAAGATCAAACTTCCAAAACAGTGTATTACATAAGCCATATGTCTGCATTAGCCTATGTATATGAGAAATGGCAAAAGAATATATACCAAAAAAGGAATGGGAGTGTTTTTTTTTCAGGGTACTAGAATTATGAAGCCTTTTCTTCATTTTTTTAAACTTTGTTTTTTTGTTTTTTGGTTTTTTTTTTTGCCTTAAGTTTTTAGTGGATAAATATTTATTAGGACAGAAACCTTTTAAATTTTTAACTTTTTAAAAAATGTTTATTTATTTTTGAGAGAGAGAGAGAGAGACTGAGCACAAGTGGTGGAGGAGCAGAGCGAGAGGGAGACACAGAATCCAAAGCAGGCTCTAGGCTCTGAGCTGTTAGCATAGAGCCCAATGCGGAGTTCGAACTCATGAGCTGTGAGATCATAACTTAAGCCAAAGTCAGATGCTCAACCGACTGAGCCACTCAGGCATGCCAGGAAAGAAACCTTTTATTATTTTTTTAATGTTTATTTATTTTTGAGAGACAGAGAGAGAGGACATAGGTCGGGGAGAGGCAGAGAGAGAGGGAGACAAAATGTGAAGCAGGCTCCAGGCTCTGAGCTGTCAGTACAGAGCCCGACACAGGGCTTGGACTCATGAGCTGTGAGATCATGACCCAAGCCTAGGTCAGACACTTAACCGACTGAGTCACCCGGGCACCCCTAAGAAACCTTTTAAAATAACAATTATTAGGAACGAAAGTTGGGGCGCCTGGCTGGCTCAATCACAAGAACGTGTGACTCTTGATCTTGGGTTGTGGGTTCGAGCTTCACATTCGATGTAGAGATTACTGAAAAACATAAATAAACTTAAACAAAAAAGACTGAGAGCCAATGAGCGTTGGTGTAGAGCATATAAATAATGGCTGTGATCATGCTCTTGACTTTATGATCTGCTGCCTACTTTTACCATTGTTTAATTCAGAGCAAGCCACATACTACCTCTCAAATTCGGATACAGTAGAAGTGGTACTGGGTACCACTGGATCACGACATGCAAGCTTTGCTCCTCCTATCCCAGAAACCCTATGCCCTAGGCAGGCAGCGTGAGTCTGCTTGTGTCTACACAAACACCCACTCCCTACGTTTTCCCCAGCCAGGGAGTAAGGAAGGGAATGTCAGGCTCTTAGAGCAAGTGGTCAGGAGGGACTCCCCTTCAGGGAAAGGAGGTGGGGAACGCGATCTGAGAGAGCCACAGAGGGGCTAGCCCCGGCAGAAGAGGGGTTGTGGGGAAGCGAGAAGGACCAGCTGCAGAAACAGACATGAAGGTGCACAAGCCAGGCAGAAGCATGTTCAAGGGGTTAAGGTTTTATTTTCAAAATTACAAGAAGTACCTCTTTGAAGGACCATTAGTTTCTAAAAAGTCTAATGTGTAAGCGGAATTCACAAATGGGCAAATCAAGGGGCACCTGGTGGGCTGAGCATCTGACTTCGGCTCAGGTCACGATCTCGCGGTTCATGAGTTCGAGCCCCACGTTGGGCTCTGTGCTGACAGCTCAGAGCCCGGAGCCTGCTTCAGATTCCGTGTCTCCCTCTGTCTCTTTGCCCCTCTCCCCCTCGCGCGCGCTCTCTCCTCTCTCTCTCTCTCTCTCTCTCTCTCTCTCTCAAAAATAAATAAACATTTAAAAAAATGGCAAATCAAGAAAGTGGAAGGGACACTGAATAAAGAGAAGAAAATATATGTGCGCTATACATGTATATATAAATTCCAAAATGGTTAGCCCATCGAGGTTTCTATAAGGAGCAACAGTCAATATTGCATAGCACAGTGGCCCGCTAGATTTCCATTTCATTTATCTGAATTTCACAGACAGGTATCAAAGTCGAGATTTTAAATTGCTATTTGGCTCTCAGTTTGAAAATGCAATAATTGGGCTTGACACACAGCTCATAACAAAAGTCGGTCCCCGGCTGAAACCCAGGAGGACTAAACTACAATGTACACAGACCTCGGATGATGAGACAGTCATTCCAATTCTTAAAAGGAGCTCGGATTAAGTAATTAAGGCCATTTGCCTTCTGCGAGCTGGCATTTCCTCTGAACTGTGAGCCAGTCTTACTGAGCAACACTGCTGTGTTAGGAGAAGAAGGTTCAGTCTTGATTTTCAGACATTAAGGTGAGGTTCAAAAAGAAGCCCAAACTCTACAAGCTGACTCAAGCACTTAAAAGCCAAACAAGTGAAGAGAAACAACATCAACAAAAGCTACAAGGTGGGGGTGGCTAGGAAATAATAAGCTGCTTGATTCAAAACAAACCTGACAGTGACGCGTTCAAGTGCTCACTTACGAAACATACCTCGCGTGATGCTTTGCTGGCGGAGGCACAGGCCTGAGCTGTCTCTATAAAAGGCAAATTTCACCCAGACCCTCCCTTGCTCAGGCTCCAGTGTCTACCCCGGCCTGCAACCAAGTTCCAGCTTTTCAGAACTCACGCTCCTCCTCTTCTCTGCCTCTAACCTCAGCCAGTCTGTCTATGCCTCAGCTTCCTCGAGTATAAGGTGGGGAAAATCCTAACTACCTACCCCACAGGGTCAGTGTAAGAGTTAAGGGAGATTACTACAAAAGGTGCAAAAACACGGCACATTGGTTGGACCATCTATTCAGGTCAGCCAGGGGCTCCCCCAACCCTGTATCAAGTTACCAATCGCCTCTTTCATGCGGATTTGGGGTCTGAACAGCACACAGGCTGAGACAGGCCTCTGGGCCCCAGGGTCTTCCAGAATGGACAAGCTCCAGAGCGCCTGCGTCCCAGGCACAGTCGGTGCTAACTGGCAGCGGCTGGCAGTTGTCACAAATTAGTAATGACCAACTGTGTGTCTGTCTCTCCCCCCAGCTCCTTCCTTAGTGCCCATTAGCCCATTCGCATCTGTGCCTGGGGCCCAAGTTGTCTGAACACATTTCGTTTTCCACAGTGGAAGGCTGCCCTCCATCCAGAGTGAGGCTGAAATAAAAAGAAGGGCGACTTTCCCTGCTCTGCCTGCAGAGGCTCCCCAACTGCACCCGAGACAATCAGCTGCCACCTGCTATGGGGTGCTTCCTCCCCAGCGCCAGGCTGATGGCCGGAAGAAGCAGAAGACTATCCAGCGAGCCGGCCCCTGCACGTCACAACCCTTCCATGGTTTATCTTCCACAACCTCCTCCCCAGCAGTCCCGGTGGCACACAAAAAAAGCTGCGAACGACCTGTCAGGCTAAATGTCACAGTGTCTCCAGCCCCATTCTCCACTGGGCAGTGGCAGGGATGCTAATGATAATGACAGGCAGAAGAAGGGACAACGTAAAGCTGGGATGCAGGCTGCAAGATCCCATTTTCCCCAAGTAACACCACAAAGAGTTTGGATCAAATGCCGAACCCTCAAAATGTGCCAGAGGTTAGTTACCATCGCCTGATTGCATGAGTCAAAACAGATCTAGAGCCAAAGGGATTGTATCAGATTTTAAGTCTTAAAAAGCACCAAGAGAAGCCAATTCCCTGATCCACACTGCATATTTACAAGCACCTGGCTGGCTCAGACAGTGGAACATGCAACTCTTGATCTCAGGGTTGTGAGTTCGAGCTCCACATGGAGTGTAGAGATGACTTAAAAATAAAATCTTGGGGCGCCTGGGTGGCGCAGTCGGTTAAGCGTCCGACTTCAGTCAGGTCACGATCTCGCGGTCCGTGAGTTCGAGCCCCGCGTCGGGCTCTGGGCTGATGGCTCAGAGCCTGGAGCCTGTTTCCGATTCTATGTCTCCCTCTCTCTCTGCCCCTCCCCCGTTCATGCTCTGTCTCTCTCTGTCCCAAAAATAAATAAACGTTGAAAAAAAAAAAAATTTTTTTTTAAAAAAATTAAAAAAAAAATAAAATCTTAAAAAAACAAAAACAAAAACAAAAACGAAGAAGAAGTGCCCAGGAGCATGACCAACTGTGGATGGGACAAGTGCTCACGTGCAGAACCATCCCCTGACATTTATGACCAGGGAACACTCCTGCTTCCCACCCCCGGGGCCCCTCCCAGCCTAAATGCCAGGGGCAGCGTCCCCAGTCACTATAATGACCGAATGGGACCCCCACAAGGCTTCAAAATCCCTGATTGAAAGCCACTGGACCTGGCTCTTGACCAGAATGTCAGGAATCCAAACAGAGGAGCAGGTTCAAGGAGAGACAGACAGGCAGGAAACACACTGGCAGAACCACGCATCCCCAGGTACCACAATGACAAGGGCCCAGTGACCATTCTGCCTGCACTGTTCCAGGCAACGGGGACAAATCACAAAAGTAACACCAGCAACCATCAAGGCCAGAGCAAACCACAATTACCTTGCCTTTAAAAACAGAACTACAAGGGCGTATATACTGCATGGGGTAAGGGAGGGGTGGGGATGGAGAAACAAGACTGGCGAAACGTTTGCAAGTGTCAAGG